CCCCAAAACCCCAAAACCCCAAAACCCCAAAACCCCTAAGCAAGTTTTAAACTGACCGTGTAAATTAATTAATAAAAAGATGATATTTGATTCATTTGATAGTAAAAAGATCTGATGCTAACAGTATAGTTAAGAAAGTATCAGAGCTTACAGGCAGACCTGATGACCAGATGAGACTTCTTTTCATCCTCCTCCTTGCTTACCCTCTGGGCTACCTCCTTAGGTACATTAGAGGAAAATGGGTGAGACATATATACTCAATTGTGATTGGTGTAGTCCTCCAAGTGTTCATGTTCAAAGAAGGAGTCCTTCATTTCTGGGGCCTAGGAATTGTAGTATACTCGATCATTACCTTTGTGGACAGAAAGAAACAACCCTGGATCGTCTTTGTAGTTTGTCTAGCACATCTCTCCTTCATGCATATCTACAGAATGCTGTTTGATTATGGAAACTGGTCCTTGGATGAGACAACATTTTTGATGCCATTAATTTCAAGACTCTCATCATTGGGATTCGTGTACGCTGATGGAGCAAAAGATGACAAACTTTTAACCAAAGATCAGATCGAGAGAAAAGTTACTACTAAGCCAACTATCATTGAAATTTTAAGCTATATCTCGTTCCCATGAGCCTGAATCTGTGGTCCATTCTTCGAATTCAGAGATTATATCGATTACATTGAGGGTAAAGGTAGATATGAGAAAATTCCCTCCTGCTTCACTTTTCTTAGCAAGAAGTTGATAGAAGTGTTGATATTGCTAGCGTTTGCCTTGGTTGTTCCTACCTATTTCAAGATTGACCAGCTCGGCACTGAATGGCTGTATAGCAAACCTCTGATCTTCCAGTATATCTATTTCATGCTTACAATGTTTGGATACAGGACAACTTACTACGTGGCATGGGCCGTGAACGATGGAGCGATCTGTTTATCAGGCCTTTCATTCTCAAGAGTCACAAAGGAGGGTGAAGCTAAGTTCGATAAAATTATCAGTGCTAATGCATACGAGCTAGAGACCTGTACTGTTCCTAGGGAAGGAATTAAGCATTGGAACTGTATGACTGCTGAATGGCTCAGACATTACGTATACGAAAGAATTAGACCAAAGGATGGTAAAGATCCGACATTGGCAACCATTGGTACGAATCTCGTGTCTGCTTTCTGGCATGGATTTTACCCAGTGTATTATAACACTTTCTTCTTCCTCGCTATTGTTTCAGAAATCGGAAAGGATGTCTTCAGATTAAAGCATTTGTTCACATTCATCCCATTCTCCATTAATCCAATTCTCAGAAACTTATTGGTGATGACATCATTGAACTATCTCTGCTCAGGAATGGGTATACTTGAGATGAAAAAGGCATATGCTTACTATAAGATGTACTACTTCTACTGGCACATCGTACTCATTGTGTCATTTATTGGCCTTAGATTCTTCCTGCTTCCCAAGTTCAAACAGAAAAAGAACAAATCTAAGCAAGAGTAAAAGGATCTGAACTTGAACTAGAGTTAAATCCTAATTTGTCAATAATATCAAAATAGAGCTAAATGTTGTTTGATCGGGCTTATAGGACTTATATCAACCATACATTTTCCCCTAGGTGATTCATGTGCTAATTTGGGTGTTAAATCATATGGATTTTAATTACACGATTTTCTTTTGATAAGCCTGGCTACCTCCTTTCTCTTCCTTAAATTTTGATAACAATCAGAGTTTGAGATCCAACTCTGATAGTCTTGATAAATAAAAATTTAGTAAATGTTCCTAAGTCCTAAAAAGTTGCCCTAAGAGTACCTAGCATTCTGATAAAACTTCCAATATGGAGGGAGATGGGTGGCTGATATCCAATAATTCCAAACTGATAAATTTGCTCACAAATGAAGAGATCCCTCTAAATTTAGGCTGTATTATTGCTTAAGCATGGTGAAATGACCCTTATCCAATTTTTCCAAATGATTTTGTAGTTAAAAATAATCGTGAGAATTGATAGCTCCTCAAACTCTCTAAACGGAGTCACTGCCTTATTTTTAACAAATCATAATTAAGAATTAAGATCATTTTCAATTGAGCTATGATTTTTGGGGTTTTGGGGTTTTGGGGTTTTGGGGTTTTGGGGTTTTGGGG